TGCAACGCGTTCGGTATTGGCTTTGTGTCCAATATCGACCATGTGAGCCTCACCATGCGCATTAAAATGATTAGAACTCATGAGTGTGCCTTTTCATAAGGGTAACCCTGTTCATTGGAGAGTGGTGTGCTAACTTTTTGGAGATCATCAGGGCTATTAAAATTGAATAAAGGTTGTGAACATAAAATGGCTGCTGTTTTGCATATTGCCATAAAATCGCGTACTTTAGCCGATGTTTGTAAGAAGTTGGTTAATTTTGGCAACACTTGTTTGTTGATAACGGCAACTAGAGGATACGTTTCATCCAAATGAGCACAATAACACCACTCTAATTGATGAGTATTGGCATAATTGATTAAATTATGAGCTAAATCAATAGGTAAGTTAATGGTGTCGCAGGGGCACACAAAAACCCAATCGGTTTGAGCGTTTTTTAAGGCACTATAAACTCCAGCTAATGGACCAACACCCAAGGTGTCGACCAAAAGTGGTTTGTTGAATAAAGCATATTGCTTAAATGAGCGATTGCAATTAATAAAAATTTGTTGTGCAGGCAGAGATTGATTCTCAATTGAGTTCAATACATGATAAATCAAGGGTTTGCCTTGCAGTGGCACAAAAGCTTTTTCGACAAAGGCATGTGGTTGTGGCGCGAGTGCTTGCATACGCGTCCCTAGACCACCTGACAAAATAATCGCATCAAAAGGTACGGTCTTGTTGTTTTTAAGAGAGGGTGGTTTTTCTAACCATCGTAAAGCTCGTGCTTGATCACTTGATTTTGCATCTACCCATCGGCTATCCTCTTGAAAAATCTCTTTTTTCCAAAAAGGTGCTTGGGTTTTAAGTTGATCCATCAAATAATCACAAGCTAAAAAAGCGTCTGCGCGGTGTGCACTAGCAACACCAACAAAAACGATAGGCTCACCCAAGACAATATAACCGACACGATGTGCAATTACAATACGTCCAACTTCAAACAGTTCCATCGCTTTTTGCGCAAGACTCTCAAGTGCGTTATGCGTCATTTGTGGATAATAATCCAGTTCAATCGCTTCCAAACTAGGCGCATCTTGACGCACCAAGCCTGTAAAAGTGACCACCGCTCCGTGAGCGCGATCAGCTTGACACCAACTTTGTAGTGTTGGTAAGCAAAGTGGCTCAGAAGGCAGAATAATGTGTATTGGTGTCATAAAAACAATCACAAGTTATTTTGATCATCTATGAGGTTAACACATGGATGAACAGGAGCGACGATTTTTGATTAAAATAGCCGACTTAATGTTTGGGCAGGAATCAAGACTTTAGTTTGAGATAAAAATAAATATATCATCATTTTAGCCTCCTGTAACGGGCGGTAGAAAAGCCACTTCACAATGAGGGGTAAGCTCAAGGTGAGCCAAATCATCTTCCAACTTCACACCATTAACGGCAATGGCGATGTGCGGTTGGATAAGCGGTGTTAAACCTTGATGATCTAACCAATCTCGCAAGTCTTTGAGCGTTACTAAAGTTGCTGGTAAAGATAGATGTTTTTCGCGTTGCCCCATTTGTTCAGCCAGCGGGCCAAAAAACATCAATGTCGCGTCAATCGATGGATTAGATAGGGTGTTCATGAGATTGTCCATGGATAAAAATTGACCAATGACCCTCCCACCATGGTTTGGTGAGGTGGGATTTCCACAAGACCATCGGCTTGAGGCAAGTTACTGATCATATGTGAGCCTTGTTTGGTTTGCAAATGGGCATCAATGTTACCTTGTTCATAAGATAACTGTACACGTGCAAAATGGGTGCGGTCGCTGCGATTATGATTGTCACGCGTTAATCTGACCTGAAAACAAGGGGGTGTAGGGCAATTATGCCCTGTACGTGCCTTGATGAAGGGTTGGGCAAATAACCAATAAGTCACCGAACAGGAAACGGAATTTCCTGGTAAGCCCAATATAAAACATTGATTAATTTTGCCAAATGCAAATGGTTTGCCTGGTTTGATCGCCACTTTCCAAAAATTGAGTTCACCCAAAGCGGTAATTGCGGTTTTAATATGGTCCTCTTCACCAACCGATACGCCGCCTGAAGTGATGAGTACATCACATTGCTGCGCAGCTTGCCTGATCACATGCATGGTTTGTTCAAGATTATCTGGACAAATACCTAAGTCAACAACATTAACACCTAGTTGGCGTAGGCTACTCATTAAAAAATAGCGATTGCCATCAAAAATTTGTCCTAATTCAAGGGGTTGACTTGGTGATGTTGAAAAATCGTAGCTCGGCTCGACGAGTTCGTTACCCGTTGACAAAACACCAACGGTTAAAGGCGAAAAAACATCTATTCGGACAAAGCCTTGGCTAGCCAAGTTGAGGATATGCGCAGGGGTTAAAAGTGTCCCCTGCTTGATCAAAAGACTTCCTTGTTCGACATCTTCGCCCATTTTCCGAATATTGGCATCGATAGCTAAGTTGGTTTCAAGCAAAACGATCGAATCGTTTAGGGCTGTCAGCTCTTGAGGAACGACTGCCGTGGTATTTTGTGGAATAGCCGCCCCTGTAAAAATCCGTGTGCATTGCCCTGCTTGTAGTGGCAAGCTATGACTTTGACCAGCAATAATGCGGTCGATGAGTTGATATTGACTGTCTTTGGCAATAAGATTAGTTGATTTGTCATGTGTGCAAAGTGCGTAGCCATCCATGGCACTATTATCAAAAGCAGGCGTAGACATCCGTGCAAGAACATCTACCGCAACAATATGTCCAAGTGCCAGATTGAGTGGAACCTGCGTGATATTGTTTTGCTGGTTTTGCGCCAGTTCAATTAAGGTTTTTTGGAGTTCTTGCCAAGATTTCATCATAAAAATAGGGGGGCTTTAAAGAAAATTGCACATAAAGAATGAGTTAGGGCAAGGGAGGCGCAGATTTGGGACGAAACCCTGTCACAATTTTGGGATCGGTATGCAAAAAGTGTCCTGAAATCAATTCTAATGTGTAGGGAATAGCCAACAGCAACTCTTGTAAAATTTCAGCGATCGCTTTGGGCTGCCCAGGTAAATTGACAATTAAGCTTTGACCACGAATGACCCCTTCTTGACGGGATAAAATGGCTGTAGGCGCATATTGCAAACTAATCGCGCGCATTCGTTCACCGAACCCAGGTAAAACCTTATGGGCGATGGCTAACGTCGCTTCTGGCGTAACGTCTCGTGGCGCGGGCCCCGTGCCGCCCGTTGTTAAAATGAGCTCACAATGACACTGATCTGCCAGCTCGATGAGCGTTTGTTCGATGATGTTTTGCTCGTCGGCAATGAGACGAGTTTGTGCCTGCCATGGGCTAACGAGCGTTTTTTGCAAAAAATCCTTTAAAGCGGGAATACCTAAATCGGCATATTGCCCTTGGCTTGCGCGATCGCTAATGGAAACTAAACCAATATTAAATTGATGAGAAGCCATAAAAATTCCTCATTGACCGAACGATAAAAACAACGTGAATTCTACGGTAAATTCTGTTAACGTGGTTTAACATGACAGAGATTAACTCGCGGAGTCATCCTGTTTCCGAGCAATTCCTATGCCAGTTACAGGCGTTTGCCAAACAAAACCATCAATTGTGGTTTGATGTGCCAAGTTTTCTAAATATTGTTGTAAGTGCTGGGTTTGCATTTTTGCACTTAAATGCTTGATAATCCATGGGTGTACAGATGAAAAAGGCAATAACTGCCCCTCAACTCTTTGATGAACACGAATAATATGGTAACCAATTTCGGTTTGTACTGGACTTGTTGAGGTCTCTCCAGCCTGCATTTGCCAGAGTGCCTGCTCAAAGCGTGCAACGGTTTGCCCTTTGCTTAACTGACCTAAGCGACCGCCTTGCTCTTTTGAACTGCAGGCGGACTCATTTTTGGCTATGAATTCAAATTGTTGGGGATCATTTTGTAAAATCGAACAGGCGCGAGTCGCTTTTACCAATGCTTGCGACTTTGCCGTATCATCATCGGTTGGAGCGAGGTATAAGATATGCGAAACTTCAAACAGTGGCGAAGTGTAAAATAATTCTCGTTGCTCTTGGTAAAAAGCTTCACAAGCGGTCAAATCGGGTTCAGGCTTGGGAATTTCTTGATCGAGTAGCAAATCGATAATTTCGTCCGTTCTTTGTAGAGCATCAGAACGTTGCGCCAGTCCAAGTCGACAGGCTTGTTGAATTAAAAGTTCTTTAATAATTAAAGCTTTAGTTGCTTCTGCCTGCGCGTCTTCTTGAGAGGCTGCACGATGATACTGCATCTCTTCGTAAATTTGCGCAGGATGAATTTCAATGCCGTTAACTTGGATTGCCATATTAAGATTCTCTTTTACGAACAATTTGATAAGGGCGCAAGACGTATAAAACAGGTGCGCTAAACACATGAACCAGTCTTGTAAAGGGGAAAACCATCAAAATGATCATGCCAAAGGTGATGTGAAGTTTAAAAATCATCGAAACATCCGCAACATAGTCAGCAGCACCTGAGCGGAAGGTAACGATATGTTGTGCCCATTGCATTAATTGCACCATGGTTTCACCATCCATATGACCTAAAGACACAGGAATGCTCAGTAAACCTAGCACCAGCTGGATAAGTAACAAAACTAAAACCATCACATCAGCTTTTGAGCTGGTCGCTTTAACCCTTGGGTCAGTTAAGCGACGCTGTAATAGCATCACAAGCCCAATCAAACAAGCAATCCCTGCAACTCCGCCAACCACAATGGCTAAGCCTTGTTTAAAACTGTGAGAAATTCCTAACGTATCAAAAACCCAAACAGGGGTTAACAAACCGACAAAATGACCGAATAAAATGGTCAAAATGCCAATATGAAACAAGTTGCTCGCTAAAATAAAGCGACGGTTACTTAAAAGTTGACTTGATTTACTACGCCAAGAATAGGGGTCACGATCAAAACGTAAAATACAGCCTAGAATCATGACCACCATAGCGATGTACGGCAATATTTGAAATAAGAAAAAATTCATAAGGTTCTCCCATGGTTCGCAGCAGGCAAAGGGTGAGGCGCGTTGGTTTGAGGTTTTAAGGTGGGGTGAAAATGGACGGGTTGTTCTGATTGACGACTTGATCCAGAACAATCTCCACTCGTATCGGGATTGAGAGGGTTGTTGGCAAACACATCTGGGTCTTCCCATAAGGCATCTAAGGCATCAAAATCTTGTGCCTGACCAGAGGCAACCGCCAAGGCTTGTTCCATCGCTTTGGCATCGGGTTTGCATCCTGCCGCATCAATAATGGCTTGTAAAACATGATGATAGTCTGAACCTCTTTTTTGCAAACGTTTTTCGATAGCGCCAATTACATTGATCGGTTCTGCTAAATTAGCTTGCGCTTCTTGAACGGGTAACAAGGCCAAATATTCCAAAAATAGGGGCAAATAATCTGGCATCTCTTCGGTAGCGATCACAAGCCCTTTTTCACGATATAACTCTGCCAAATCAACTAAAGCTTGACCACGTTCGCGAGATTCACCATACACATGCTCAAATAGATGTAAAGACAAGGAAGGCGTACGATCAAATAAATCGACATAATCTTCTTGTAGCGCCATCAGCGGCTGTTGTGTGAACTGTTCAATCACTTTCTTAAGGGATTTCAAAGTGGATTTGGGCAACCATCCCTCCTGTTCTATGAGGGTGGCACACTCGGGTAAAGCGGCCATTAATGGCTCGGTTGGATAGGTGAGTAATAATCCAAGTATTTTTAGTGTATTCATCGTGTTATGACTCTTTTTTGCGGTTAAATAAGGTTGAAACACGATTGTCAGGTTGGGATGCGGCTCTGCCACGCCAAGTAATAGGCTGCTCAAAAAGATCAGTTTTACTATTGCTATGGCTGGCACATCCATTACCAAAAGAAAAACCACAGGCTCCCGTTTCGCCATACGCATCAATGGATTCCTCACGGTGACCTGTTGGGATCACAAAGCGATCTTCATAGTTGGCAATGGCCATGATGTGATACATATCTTGTACTTGTTCATGGCTAAGGTTAACCTCTTGAATGAATTGGTTATCTTCTTTGCCTAAAACCAATTTGCTGCGCATGTAACGACGCATAGCCAACATACGTTTTAGCCCAAGGCGAATGGGAGCTTCTTTCCCACCCGTGAGCAAGTTGGCTAAATATTTGACGGGGATGCGCATATCATCCATATCAGGAATGATGCCGTCTTTGGACGGAATTTTGCCTGCTTGGGCTGCTGCTTGTAAAGGAGATAGCGGTGGAATATACCAAACCATCGGTAGAGTGCGGTATTCTGGATGCAAAGGAAATGCAACTTTCCAATCAATGGCCATTTTGTAAACAGGTGAGTGTTTAGCCGCTTCCAACCAATTATCAGCAATTCCATCAGCTTTTGCTTGCGCGATGACTTTGGGATCATTGGGATCTAGAAAAACTTTCAGTTGTGCTTCGTAGAGTTCTTGTTCGTCAGCGACACTCGCCGCAGTACTGATTTGGTCGGCATCATACAAAACCACACCCAAATACCGAATACGTCCAACACACGTTTCAGAACAAACCGTTGGTTCACCATTTTCTAGGCGTGGGTAACACAATGTACATTTTTCGGCTTTACCAGATTGCCAGTTGTAATAGATTTTTTTGTAAGGGCAACCCGACATACACATGCGCCAACCACGACATTTGTCTTGATCCACTAAAACAACACCATCTTCTTCACGTTTATAAATAGAGCCAGAGGGGCAAGATGCGACACACGTGGGGTTGAGGCAATGCTCACACAAACGTGGCAAATACATCATAAAGGTATTTTCAAATTCGCCATAGATTTCTTTTTCTATATCTTTGAAATTATAGTCTTTTTTACGATGTTCGAATTCAGTACCAAGAATCTCTTCCCAGTTGGGTCCCCAAGAGACTTTTTCCATTCGCTGCCCAGTGATTAATGAGCGTGGGCGAGCGGTTGGCATGGTTTTTGATTCTGGCGCATTTTGGAGATGATCGTAATCAAAAGTAAAAGGCTCATAATAATCATCAATTTGTGGCATGTTAGGATTGCCAAAAATTTTGGATAAAATGCGCCAACGATTACCTTGTTTCGGTGCTAAACCGCCATCTGTAGTGCGTTTCCAGCCACCATTCCATTTGTTTTGATTTTCCCATTCTTTGGGGTAACCAACGCCAGGTTTGCTTTCGACATTGTTAAACCAAACGTATTCCATACCTTCACGACTTGTCCAAACATTTTTACACGTTACCGAACAGGTGTGGCAACCAATACATTTGTCAAGATTAAGCACCATCGCAATTTGTGCACGTACTTTCATTATTTATTCTCCGCATTTACTGGGGTTTCACCATCCATCCAATCCACATGATCAACCCGTCTAACAATAACAAATTCATCCCGGTTTGAACCTACCGTACCGTAATAGTTAAAGCCATATGAGTATTGAGCATAACCCCCAATCATATGGGTGGGTTTTAAGGTGGCACGAGTAACTGAGTTATGGATGCCACCGCGCGCATGGGTAATCTTTGAGGCAGGTGTATGAACGAGTTTTTCTTGGGCATGGTACATAAACAATGCCCCTTCGTTAATCCGTTGTGAAACCACTGCACGCGCCATGATGGCACCATTAATGTTAAAGACTTCGACCCAATCGTTGTCTTTGATCGCAGCTCGTTTGGCATCCGTTTCACTCATCCAAACAATAGGACCACCGCGCGATAGCGTTAACATATGTAAATTATCACTGTATGTTGAGTGTATGCCCCATTTTTGATGCGGAGTTAAGAAGTTTAAGACTAAAGTTGGATTGCCATCGGCTTGATGTTTATCAAGCATTGCTTGGATGGTGTTGGTGTTAATCGGTGGACGATAAGAAACCAAACCTTCACCAAAAGCAATCATCCACGGGTGATCTTGATAAACTTGCTGACGTCCAGTGAGTGTTCTCCATGGAATGTACTCGTGGACATTGGTGTAACCAGCGTTGTAGCAAACTTTTTCTGACTCTAAACCACTCCATGTTGGTGAAGAAATGATTTTGCGAGGTTGTGCTTGAATATCCCGAAAACGAATTTTTTCGTCTTCTTTGGTAATGGCTAAATGGGTGTGATCAAGCCCCGTGTTTTTGCTCAGTGCCGCCCAAGCCTTAACTGCGACTTCACCATTGGTTTCAGGTGCTAACGTTAAAACAACTTCACAAGCGTCAATATCGGTTTCAATTTTAGCGCGATGATTCTTCTCACCATTTAAATGCTTGAGAAACTCGACTTCATGATCGGTGTTCCACGTAATGCCTTTACCACCATTACCCAGTTTTTCCAACAGAGGCCCTAATGAGGTAAAACGTTCGTAAGTTGCAGGGTAATCCCGTTCAACCACTTTCATGCTAGGCATGGTTTTGCCTGGAATCGCATCACATTCACCTTTACGCCATTCTTTAACGTTAAGCTGAGCAAGCTCTTGTGGGGTGTCATGCAAAATTGGGGTTAATACAATTTCTTTTTGAATGCCAAGGTTTGAAACCGCCAATTCAGAGAATTTTTTAGCAATACCTTTATAGATATCCCAATCGGAACGGCTTTGCCATACAGGATCGACGGCTTTTGACAATGGGTGAATAAACGGGTGCATATCGGAGGTATTTAAATCATTCTTTTCATACCAAGATGCAGTGGGTAGAACAATATCGGAATAGACACAAGTTGTTGACATGCGAAAATCCAAAGTGACGAGTAAATCCAATTTACCTTCAGGAGCTTGGTCGTGCCAAACAACATCTGAAGACATTCGCTGACCTTCACTGCCTAAATCTTTACCTTGTACACCGTGTTGTGTGCCTAAAAGATGTTTTAAGAAGTATTCGTGCCCTTTTCCTGAAGAACCTAGCAGATTGGAACGCCAAACAAACAAATTGCGTGGCCAGTTACTTGGGTTGTCAGGGTCTTCACAAGACATTTGTAACTCATTGTTTTTAAGGCGATTAACAACATAATCAACGGGGTCTACACCTTGCGCTTCTGCTTGTTTCACCAATTCAATGGGGTTTTCTTGCAGTTGTGGAGCAGAAGGCAACCATCCCATGCGTTCTGCACGAATGTTATAGTCAATAATAGAGCCTTGCCATTTGCTCTTGTCGGCTAATGGCGATAAAATTTCTTGAGGGTTTAAGGTTTCGTAACGCCACTGATCTGTATGGGCATACCAACAAGACGTTGAATTTTGTTGACGTGGAGGACGATTCCAGTCAAGGGCAAAGGCCAAAGGTAGCCAGCCATTTTGTGGACGGAGTTTTTCTTGACCGACATAGTGCGCCCAGCCGCCGCCTGATTGGCCAATACAACCACAAAAAATCAACATATTGATACAGGCACGATAATTCATGTCCATGTGGTACCAGTGATTCATGGCCGCACCAATAATAATCATGGATTTGCCACGTGTGACATGAGCGTTCTGGGCAAATTCGCGCGCGACACGAATCACTTGCCCTGGGCTAACGCCGGTGATGTTTTCTTGCCAAGCTGGTGTATAGGGAACATTGTCTGTGTAGTGATGTGTAACATGATCACCTCCTAAACCCTCCCTAGCAATACCATAGTTAGCACATATCAGGTCAAATACGGTCACTACGGGTGTTTTCTGACCGTTAAGTTCAAGGTATTTGACGGGAAGGTTGCGGTATAACACTTCATCATGTTGATTAGGTTCAAAATAACCGTGTTCATGTGTTGTGCCCGCAAAATAAGGAAATCCAACTTTGACGATATCGTCTTGTGATCCGAGCAATGTTTTACGGGGGCGAATGGTTTGGTCACCGCTTTTTTCAGGAGCAATATTCCATTTGCCTGTTTCTCCCCAGCGAAAACCAATCGAGCCTTTAGGAACATAAACATCGTTATTGGCTTCGTTAAAATAAACAGTTTTCCAGTCGGGGTTATTATCTTGCCCCAAGTTTTGATCAAAGTCACTGGCCCGTACAAATCCGGCTGGCGCATAATGCTCACCTTGTTTTTCCAGCTTAACGAGAAAAGGCATGTCGGTGTAATATCTTGAATAATCATCAAAATATTCAGAAGGGTTTTCCAAGTGAAATTCTTTAAGAATAACATGCCCCATGGCCATGCCCATGGCTGCATCAGTGCCTTGCTTAGGATTTAACCAAATATCGCCAAATTTTGAGGCTTCGGAATAATCAGGAGTGACCGTAACAACCTGCGTGCCTTTATAACGAGCTTCTGTCATGAAGTGAGCGTCAGGTGTGCGGGTTTGAGGTACATTTGAACCCCACATAATAATAAAACCTGAGTTATACCAATCAGCACTTTCTGGGACATCGGTCTGCTCGCCCCATGTTTGAGGGGAAGAGGGGGGTAAATCACAATACCAGTCATAAAAGCTCATGCATACCCCACCAATAAGGGATAGGTAACGTGAGCCAGCGGCATAGGAAATCATCGACATCGCGGGTATGGGCGAAAAACCAAAAATTCGATCAGGACCGTATTTTTGGATGGTGTAGATATTGGCAGCTGCAATGATTTCAGTTGCTTCTTCCCAATCGGCTCGAACAAAACCACCTTGCCCACGAACTTCTTGATATTGTTTGCGTAATGCTGGGTCTGCTTGAATCGCCTTCCATGCTTGTACAGCATCTTGATTGTTTGCAGCTTTCATGCTGCGCCACATCTCAAGTAGACGCTTACGAATCATGGGATATTTCAAACGATTGGCTGAATAGAGATACCAGCTATAACTTGCCCCCCTTGGGCAACCACGAGGTTCATGATTAGGCAAATCAGGGCGTGTGCGTGGGTAATCGGTCTGTTGTGTTTCCCAGGTAATCAAACCGTTTTTAACATAAATTTTCCAAGAACACGAACCTGTACAGTTCACACCATGGGTTGAACGGACAATTTTGTCGTGTGACCAACGATCTCGATACGCTTCTTCCCAGCCACGATTTTCATCAGTTGTTATACCATAGCCATTTGAAAATGTTTCGGTATCACGTTTAAAATAACTTAATTTATCAATTAAATAGCTCATAGCATCAATCTTTCTAAGGAATTTAGGCGCACATTATGGATTTTTGATTTCAGCATTTTTGCGTAAATAAAACCACCAATTAATGATCAAACAGATGGCATAGAAGGCAGCAAAGCCATACATAGCATATTCAGGTGTTCCTGCTTTGATTTGTCCCTTGATCACTTCTGGTGCAATAAATGAACCATAGGCAGCAGCAGCGGATGTCCACCCTAATACTGGACCTGCTTGTAAACGATCAAAAATCACGCCAACAGAACGAAAAGTAGAGCCATTGCCAATACCTGAAGCGGCAAACAAAACAATAAAAGTCACAAGGAATGGCATAAAATATTGTTCAGGTGTCGCAGAGTGATAAGCTTGCATCATGACATACCCCACATAAATGGAGGCAACAACCATCACCAACGAAATAACTTGCGTCACAATAGCCCCGCCAACCTTATCGGCAATCCAGCCACCAACAGGACGAATTAATGCACCAACAAAAGGGCCGATCCAAGCATAAGTGAGTGGTGATGGGGCGTTAGGGTTTTTGACATGGCTCCATGTTTGGGCTGCGGTATCAAAAATATGTTGATTCCCAAAAATAACTTTAATCGAAAGCGGTAAAGCCATTGAAAAGCCAATAAATGAACCAAAGGTCACGATATATAAAGCAGTCATGGCCCATGTGTGCTTATTTTTGAAAATGGCATATTGATTACCAATATTGGCTTTCATTTCGCCAAAAGCTGTGATTTTCATGAGCCCTAATGTGGCAATGACAATTAAGGGTAAAGCGATCCACATGTTAAGTAGGCCAAGCCCAGTGGGTGCTGGCAAATATAAATATAGACCAAGGGCAGATGTAGCAAAAGCTAAGCCATAAAGCCACAAAATTTTGATACAGGCCATTACAGTACCACCCATATTCGGCGAAATGGTCAGCAAGTTGTTCATACCGAAAAATGCCGCGATGGTGATGGGTACCAAAAAAATCAACCAAACATAACCACCGTTTTGAACCCACGTTTGTGAACCTGCTAAAATTTTGCCAAAAATCCAACCAGAGTCTTTTTGCAAAACCATAGGCTCACCACCTAATGCGCCAAAGATACCTGCTGTCATCACCAGTGGAATCAAGACTTGCATGGTCGTTACCCCAAAGTTGCCAAGACCAGCATTAATGCCTAAAGCTGTACCTTGTAACCGTTTTGGGAAAAAAGTACTGATATTGGACATGGAACAGGCAAAATTACCACCACCAATCCCCGATAGCAGCGCAATAACCTGGAAAACCCATAACGGCGTATCTTTACTTTGTA